TGGGGAAAAAAAAAAAATGAGAAAAAAATTAAGGAGTATATAATCTGCTTTCCCTGGAATTGATTTGCCTTTTCCACACAGCTCAGTGGACCTTATCTAACATACTTAATTGGGAGGCAGTATGCCTCAAAGGTTAAAAATGAAGATTCTGGAATAAAACTGAGTTTCAATCTTCACAACTTACTAGTCATGGGACCTCGAATATATTACAAAATATCTCCTAATCTAAGCTTCTTCGTCTGTAAAATGGGGAAATTAGTACTTACCTCACAGGGTTATTATAAGGATTAGAAGAGAGATAAAAGAATCCATATAAAGCATTTAGCAAAATGATAAGCACATAAGTGCTCTAAAAATGCTAGCTGCTTTTTAATAATAGCTATAATTATGATAATTATCCAAGTAAAAGTCTAATACGAACAGTAATTGTAGTAGTAACAGTTTTTATTATAGAGAGAACTAGCAAATCAGTGTTAACTTCCTTATGCAACTATTAAACACGATTCCCTCTCTCAAATATTTCCTTTATTCACTTTAAGCCTAAACATCTAAACATAGCCAAAACATAGACTCAAGTCTACATTTGTGGTAACTGTACAGAGTTTAACCTAATAATTAAGAACCTGAGTTTCAAGACAGGTTGTCCATGTTCAAAATCTTGGCTCCATCACTTAACAGCTGTGTACCCATCAGCAAGTGATTTTCCTTATCTGCGCCTCGGTTTCTTCATCTGTTAAACAGATAATAATTACAACCTATGCTAAAAAGTTTTTATGTTCACTGCATGAAAGAGTATTTGTAGACTTTACAGGGTATTTGGCATACCAGGAGTGCTCAAAAAATGCCAATAAAAAAATCGGAGGTTAATAAATATAGAAATACTGGGCTCCATTTTAACTTTTTCTAAAATCTACTTACTTGATTTATTTGCTTAATAAGAGAGACACTTGCAAAGGGAATACTTAGGCAAAAAAGAAGTATATGAAGAAAATAAACTGACATGACTAAAAGTTATCAGCTAGGTCAAATATATCCTGGCAAAGAACCATAACAAATAATTCAGGTAAGAAGGTTGATTAGGATGGTGGCTCTCATCTGTAATCCTGGCACTTTGGGAAGCTGAGGTGGGAGGATCACTTGAGGACAGAAATTAGAGACCAGCCTGGGCAATATAGCAAGACCTTATCTCTACAAAATAATTTTTTAAAAACTTAAGGTCTCCTGCTATATTAAAACAGTATAGCAAAATTTCAACTAACCAGAAGTTGTAGTTTATAAAAATTCATCTTCTTCCCCATCCAAACTAAAAAAAATTTCATTTTGAGGACAAGGAAATCACAACTTGCATTTTTAGAAAACAGCCTGCTGTTGGTACACTTGAAACATGTATCTTCCTATTACATCTACAATATTACACAAAATTAATCCTTAACTCAAAGTTATCACCTTTTGAAGTACCAAATTTTTAAAAACTAAATACACTATCACATTTAGTTATAAAAACATTTTAGACTAATATATTTCAGAAAGGCTTATCACAATGACTCAAAAGATTTAACAAATTACCAATTCAATTAAACATTTGAGCACTCTATCCCCCAAATACCCCCAACAATTGGAAAAAAAAAAGGTGAATACAATGTAAAATTATGTGTAAATCCCTGAATTTTATAGCCCTACCAAAAAAAAAACTTTTTCAGAGAACTGACTAAAAGATGTACTTTACTACACAGAAAGAAGAAAACTATGCATAAAGTACAGAATTGAAAAACGAAAACAAAAACTCCCCTGAATACTTTATGTTTTACTTTATCTTGAGTTCGCATGTTTCCATAAAACATAAAATACTGTAATTTCAAATTTCAGAAGATCTAAAATAAATTTAAATATTTATATACTTAAATTTCCAGTTATCAGAATTGGAACTTTATTCCCCATGAATATTCTAATTGCAATCTTTAAAATCAAAAAAGTTAGGACTATTTAATGTGGCAGATAAAAGTATAGTAATGTTAAAGGATACACTTAAACATAATAATTAAAAACCTTGTCTCTTGAGTCAAGTGGGTAATAGCCTATATGACCTTATGCAAGTTGCCTAACCTCTGAGCCTCAGTTACCTAATCAATAAATTGAGGATATTATTACTACCTACTGCATAGGGTATACTGTTAAGGTATTTAAAAAATAAGATACACATAAACTGCTTATTTTGGTGCCTGGTACATATGTAGTTAACAAATAAGTTCTAAATAATATTTTAAATAAAACTTTTCTATATACATGGATATACATAGGGAGTTTTCAATTATGGAAACAAGATTTTCCATAAAAACAATTCTAGGTCAGTTTTAATTGTCAATTCAATATCTCTAAGTTCCTTTTTGAAACACAAATCTGATGTTATTACTAAAAATAAAGGACAAGAATGTTTCAGAAAACTATACAGTGTTATTACTCAGGACACAAACAAACATCTTTGATTAGAAGCAACAAGCCTAGACTCCATGCCATTTTAAAGTGTGACTTTAAAACAAATTTTTCTGCCACTCTACCACAAATCCCCATACTGAGGCCTTTCCTCAAGCTGTTACAGCATAAGATTACATATCACAGCTTAACTTCACATGGTTAATGTTACATATTTTTTTAAGAACTTACCACCATGCCAAAAAAAGAAACAAATATAGAATTTTAAAATTCCTATATCTATTAATAAGAGATTAAACAACAATCAAGACACAAGAAAACAGACTGCTCAGTAGCTCACACCTGCAATCCCAGCACGTGGGAAGCCCAAGGCAGGAGGATTACTGGATCCCACAAGTTTGAGACCACCTTGGGCAAGAGGGAGACCCCATTCCTACAAATTTTAAAAATTATGGTCCTGGCTACCTGGAAGGCTAAGGTGGAAGGACTGCTTGAGCCAGGGAGGTTGAGTCTACAGTAAACCCTGTATACACCACTGCAAACTCCAGCCTGGGCAAGAGTGAGACCCTGACTCAAGAAAGAAAAAAAAAAAAAAAAAAAAAAAAGAGAGAGAGAAGAGGAAGAAAACAACAACAAACCAATCAAGATACAAAAGGTACTGGAAGTAAGAACATTTACTGGGCAACTATTGTGTGCAAAACACCTGTGTTTTGAAATTATCTAAACTATCACTCAACAGAGAGGAAAGGAGCTTCTGAAAAATTAAGTAACTTGATCAAGATTTCACAACTACTAACTGACAGGACCCACAGAGAAATTCATACCTGATTCCGAAACACTAGAAAAGCTTATCTAAAAACATATGTGCCCTCCCAAAAATAATGTTTAAAATCATGCTCCACTTTTTCAAAACCTCAGCTGCTTAAAACCTCAGGAAGCAGTTACTATCAAGGTAAAAACCTGATCAGTTCAATCCATTTTATATTTTTGAGACAGTGTCTCACTATATTGCCCAGGCTG